CATTGTCATTACTCATTTGTCACAAATTTGTCTGTCATTGCTGCAGTGTGAAGTAATTTGGGCTCATATATTGCAGACCTTCATCATCATATACATTGCTTTTCATTTTTGATTATTGTATGGAATTATTTGTACTATTATTGTATTGTATAGAAAAGAGCCGTGTCAAAAAAATATGAATAATAATACCAATAGTAAATGGCATAATTTCATATCCAGGTGAATGGCTGCTCTAGGTTCTGTATTTTCATGGAAGCTTTTCCACAGTTTCCTGTTTCCACACAGACACTCATGGGTTCTGAGTTAGGAACTGTGTTTATTTTTATTTACTACTATTTTTTTTAATAAGCTCTAACCCACTCAAGTACATCTCAATGCGCTTATTGTTTTCTTACATAATCAGTTTCAATTAGAACTGTTGATTGCATGTCATGATAATATGACGTTAATATGAAAATGTATTCAATTTTGAAATTATGGAAGTGTAAACAGATTGTAACATGAAGAGTGGATGGAATAGTTTCCAACACACCAAACGATGCAGAATTAATGGGTTGTTGTGTGATATTATGCTCAAGGTATTTTACTCAAGGAAGATATGTCAAACCTGACAATCAAGTAAGTCAAGGGTATCAAATATATATAAAAGTTCCTTCAAAACTGCAGTGCTGATGAAGTGAAAACAGTCAGGTGTTGTGCTGATGTCCATCCAAACAGTTCTGCACATAAAGCAACAGAATTTGTACACAAAAAGTACTTACCATATTGCAGTTATGCTACACTGCTGTTCAAAAGTTTTGGAAAGTTTTTTTTAGAAAGGAATTAATACTTTTATTCAGCAAGGTTGCATTAAATTGATCAAAAGTGACATTAAAGACATTTATAATATTACAAAATATTTCTGTTTCAAATAAATGTTGTTCTTTTGAACACTGAAAAAATATATCACAGGCTCCGCAACTAATTTCAACATTGATAATAGTAAGAAATCTTTGATTACTCAGGGTCATGTGAAAATTCAGCTTTACCAGCAGAAAACAGTTCTTTTAAATTGTAATAATATTATTGTTTACTGTATTTTGATCAAATGCAGCCTCTGTGAGCATCACAGTCTTCTTTCAAAAGCATTCGAACCCAGAAAATCTTAACAACCCCGAACTTTTAAACAGTAGTGAAATGAACTGATATTACTGTGGTACATATTCCAAGAAACCCTGGTTGTACCATAGTGCATGTCCATAAAACATGGTATTACCATGCTACACGTCCTGAAAACCTTGGTTGTATCATAATTCCAAGTCCAACATGGTACTTCCATGCTACCTGCCGAAAAACACACATTCATATTCAAAAAGCATAGTAGTACATTTATATCATGTGCAAAAGCATTTGTATTATCATGGTATTTGTCTAAAAACATGGTTATACAATGTTATCATGTCCAAAAACATGGCATTACCATTTATGTCCAAAAAACGTGGTGCTTTTTGTTAGTAAAATGATCAACATAAGCTTATCAAACATAAGAAAAATGTGCCTTTACCTAGATTTTTTGCAAAACTCCAAAAACATACAAATTCATGTAATTATCTTCAGTGTCCAGCTAAAATGAATAGGAGTAACAGTAAAACCAACTTTTTTATTATTTTTCACAAATTATGATTACATAGATGAATTGTCGTCAATTAATAAAGACTTATTTTCACATAATTCTTGCACAACACTGCATTATGATCTAAAAACAGTGCATGATTTGTAAACTAATATATTGACATTTGAATTAGGCTTGCCACGATAGACGGTGCTGACAGTGATACCAGTGTTATAACGCGGCTGCTCAATGCAGTTGAACGACAGTTGCATCACAGATCAGATTTCGTTTCTCCAGTGAGGAGAGTGAGTCGAGCTGACTGACAAGAAGAGTGAGGTGAGACAGACAAGACTATCACGGATGATTTAGTTTCGAAACCAAATGCAAAAGCGCCTGTTTAGCAATATTTTGGATTTTGAAAAGCCTGTTGACTTTTGCCATTTATCTAAGGTGATTTTGGAAGTTTTTTTTAAACATTCGTTTTTTAATTAATTGGTTCCACATTGTTTGCAGATTTTTACTTTATTTAAACTTTGTGTCATTTATTTATTTTATTTGACATCAAGGTGTATGCCGTGCCTCCAAGCTTTCTTACTCGTTTTGCTAATAAACGTTCTACGTTTCTCATTTATTTGGTTATATATTATACATGTTTACTTGTTTCCAGTTTTGTACATTTAAACTTTATGTAAGTTATTTGTTATTTTATATTAGGCATAGCCTGCCCTATAGCATGGTGTATTTTTATTTGTTTTGTTAATAAAAGTTCTATGTTTTATATATACGCTAAAGTGAGTTTGACGTTGTATTTTGTTGTTGCATTAAAGCAATTGACGCCTAACTGCCGCTAATTCGAAAGTGAAAGTAAAATGCGCACGGCGCTTTTAAGCGATTTAAAAGCAAAGGAAAGCGAGGAAAAGAGGGAAAATTCAAACGAACTAAAAACGAACAATTGCTTTACTCCGAATTGCTGCTATTTGAAAGTGAAAGTAAAATGCGCACGCCACTTTTACAAGCTATTTAAAAGCGAAGGAAAGCGAAGAAAAGAGGGAACGCCCCCACGGTGATACCCGTATTACCGGGGTTTTTTTTTTGTTTCGTTTTTTTGATGTAGTAAACTTGCTCAGTTGTTCACCTGGTGCAGCATTGTACTTGTGATGCAGAGCACTCGGGTACAGGTCCCATGAGACTTCTAGAATCAAGTTAAAATGGCATGGTTGCTTCAACAAATTCTTTTTTTTTAATCTCACGTTTGCTTTTGTTAACACTATTATAGGGTTTGGTGTAGGTGGTTTGTTATTTTCACGGTATGTACAACAACCAATGTAATAAAACATTGCCAGATTCATGTTTCGGATAAAACTAAACACTCTTTTTTTTGTGCCACTCACTGGACATCTCACTTTGAAACTGTCGTGAAACTTGCAAGAAGCAATGTAATGTAATTTAATTTTGCAGAAATGTTGCCCCGGCACATTATTCCAATGAGACCTGGTTGGAAATTGTTCTGTATTACAGCCAGTAGCTCACTGCTGTTTCCTCTATCCAGTCAATCCAGTTTGCATTTCCTTCTGTTAGTTTCTAAGTTTATCTGACTAGGAACAGTCTTTGTATGTGCTGTGGACAAATCTGTTTCTTTCTAGCTAATATAACAAAAAAAATCTCACTGTACGGCTGA